CTTTTGTGTTAAATGTTTATATTTACCACCAATGACAAAAAAAGAAACATTTTCATTTTTATGCAAAATTTACTTGTTAAATAGTAAGTACTGTAAGATGAGCAGTATTTCAAAAGAGCAGAAGAAATCTTATGTTTTTTGAACAATAACAATATTTGTTGTTAATCTGTTGCTAAGAGACGTGGGCATTTTCTGGTAACCAAGTGCCATGAAGTAAACATCTGATTTTCAATTTTGCAAAGTTTACCAACTGTAATTTCTTGTGCCCAAGCAGACAAGCAGTATTTCAAAAGGGCTTATGTGTCATAAATAATATTAGTTATTAATTTGGTGTTAAGAGGTGAGCATATTTTTCTTTTTTCTGGTAACGAAGTACCACGAAGTAAACATCTGATTTTTACTTTTGTAAAAGTAGAAATCAGAAGGCAGTGCATTAACATTAGCAGAAACATTACCAGTGCACTGCGCCCCACTAGCAGTCTAGCAGTAGCCTTTTCCCTAAAATAAGCTTTTCAGCTATTATTTCATCTATTAGCCATGTTTAGCACAATTAATGGAGGAAGTCAATGTAAGACAACATGCTAGTGAAGCCCTACATGCCACTGGTAGCTTTTAGGTTAACATTAGCATTTTGGCTATTTTTAGCAATACACTGATTTTAACTTACTGAATAGAGTAAGGAATACGTTTTATACAACTATTTTGGTACCAGCTCAATCAAAATGCTGCTTACAAGAGGAATGTCCGCTGGGAAAGCTTTTTCGTCCCTCTATGACAACATCTGGGTCACCGCTGCAGCGCAGCTCCAAGTTCATCTGACCGTCTGGGAAACAGCGATAGAAGAAATCTGGCCTCGGCCTGAAGGGAATAAAACCAGAGGCGGGATGATGTTTTCATTGGCAGGCGAACTAAAAACTAAAAACAACTGCAAAACTTTGCATGATGTTGAGATGTTTTACCTGCCAACAACAAGTTTGATGACATTGGTAAAAACTCCATTGAGCACCAGAGTCAGAGTCACAGCTGGAGGAAACAGAACCAAGTCATGAAAAACATATGTCACCTCAAACAAGAAATGAGTCAGAAACATGTTTGTAGGAGTTTATTTCTCACCCAGAGAGGCTTCTCTCAGATCGCCATGCTCAGACTTTCTCAACAGATTAAAAACCACGATTATAATCAGGGGGGTTAAAACAGCCACACTCTGAAAAGAGCAGCAGTCAATTTTAGAAACTAAACATCATTCTGCAGGAATAAAACTTCTTCAACCATTATCATGTGGCCGAACTTTCAAAAACAGGTCAACCATGATGTTAAAAACAGGCAGAAAAAACTAAATATAATTAAATTGAGCATTTTTTCCACCTAAAAATAAAATATTACTGTCACCCATCAATAAAACAATATTGATGGGTACAATTAATTGCACAATAAATTAAAATGAGCTGGATAATTTAGATTCCGATTAATATTTTTGAAGGGCATTTTTGTTTATAGAGACGTCATAATACATTTTATTTATGGTTTTGGTTGTGTGAGATTTTTATTTCCGTTTTATTTGTGGTTTTTGGTTGATCTATTTTGGATTTATAAAATATATATTCCAGTTCCAGTGCCCAGTGGGTTTTTTCATCTTTACAAAATTAAAGTTTATTAGTCTTTGATAGGGCAGGTTTGCATTATTATGCCATTATCAATATATTACTTGAAAATGGCCCTAAAACAACATTGTTGTTGTATATCACAATATTTTATGGTACAATTTATCATTGAAATTGTTGAATTTTTGTGTTTTGATTTTGTTTGTGTCTTAAGGTACTTTATTATGCCTTTTTGTAATGTTTGTAATAGCATGGTTTTATTGTAATGTTTGTGGTGTGGACCACAGGAAGACCCTTAAACAAATAACCAAAACCTTGTAACCTTTGTTACAGGTCTACTGTCAATTAAACTCTAACTGGTTTACAGTAAAAAGAAAGATCACAAGGCGTTTAATTGAACAAGTAAAGGATAAAAATGTACAACACACTTCTGGGATTTGTGTTTACTAAAAATGTAGCACAACTTCACCATTACGCTCCGTTTTGTTTTGGTCCATCACAAAAAAATTCCAATAAAATCCATTTCAAGTTTGTGTTTGTAACTTTCTCATATGTACAAAAGTTCAAGGGTCATTACCATGTTACACCCCAATATAAAGTATATTTAGGTGTTCTAAAAAAACATATACATATAACATATAATAAAGTATATTTACTGTTTGTAGGGATACATACAAACATGAGAGGGGTTGGTACGTGGTCCGACTCCACACGATGGAACTTGTACAGCCACATCTCCTCGGCCTGGATCTCTCGGTAGAAAGGAGGGAGCTGCTCCGTCACACTAACAGAACCACAAACAACACCTGCGTCTCAGAAGACGGGTCCATAAAGCTGAACTGTAAACTACACTATGTCATCAACTGCTGTGATGTTAAAAAAGAAAAAAAGGATAAAACTTACAGGAACACAAACAGAAGAGCAAACCGGATGGAGATTTCCGACAGGAAACCTTGCAGCAGCCTCCTCTTCATTTTGGTTCTTGGTTTGGACTTCAGTCAACAGCAAACATCATCCTGCCACTTCTTTACTAAATAAGGGTTAACAAAAGACAAAAAATACTCAAAAGGATTATATAGGAGATTATAGGAGATCATTATAACTATTTAGTAGCACTCTGAGACCCGATTACAATCATCTTAAATGAATATAAGATGGCATACATTTTCAAAATTTTCCAGCACCACACTTCTGAGATAAAAACAATACAAATGAACTAAATAATACAGTTTCAATTCATTATTATATATAATTTATTACCATTATTAATAATGTCTTGTGACAGTATTTAACATTCTACAGCAGGGACAAGGTAAACTAAAGAAACAAAATTTTATGTTTTGAAATGTCTCTTGTACACACGAGTTTTCTGGCAAATAATTTTGGTCTGACTTCACTTCAGGAAATGAAAAAAAAAGTGTATGCATCTTTTTATTAGGTATATGAAAATATCAAATTTCAACTGTAAATATTGTTTTACAAATTTAGGCTGTTAATCAAACCTTAGATTGCAAAACTATTGGTGAAAAAAAAGCTTTCAAAGCTTCTTAGAGTTTTTTCAGTAACTGATTTTAATCATTGAGAATGTTGTTGAATTTCACTGAAACCTGAATAAGGAACTCCAAAAGCAAACAGTGCAGCAGACCTGTTTGAGCCATTTCCCACAGAGGCCCTAGACATAAGCTGGAAGTAATAAAACATGGCTTTGTTGTATAATATGGAGTTGCTAAAAAAAAGTGGCGTGGAGGAGTGATAAAGTACATAAAGGCAGAAAGAGTTGGGGCAAAACAGAGGCTTCATATTCATAGTTTGGAGCTAAAAACGATCTTTGAGATTTTTGTTAAATAAAAATCAACACAGTGACAGACAAATATTTTACTTCCACTTAAAACAATGCCTGTTTCCATTTTAATTTCAACGTTTTTAAGCTAAATGGAAAAATGTAAAGACAAAATAGAAACAAGACCTTTGGAGTTGATAGTAAAGATACATTTTTGATTGGTGTCAGACTCTAAAATATAAAAGCAGAGCAGATCAGCAGCCACTGACAACATCTGCCAACTGGGGGTAGCAGGTGCAAATACCACCAATTAATGACTAAAACTAAAATTTATGTGTTATGTTATGTTGCATGTATCAGTCTAGGTTATTAAATTAGTAAAAGTTGTTTTAAAGCAGTTTAGCAAAATTAAAATCTTCTCATAAAATGTTAGATACAACACTAAACATTCATCTTTTAATAACCAAACTTTCTGCTTTCCCTCTGATTTTATGGTAGACGTGATCACATCTGTCTACTGACTCACACACTGAAGCAGATCCAAATCAGCTTTTGGTAATATTCCTCAGAGATTTTAGTTCATGTTGACTTAAAAATATCTCAATGCTTTGATCGCACCAGGTTCTGACCCGCCCATCTCAGTGCTGCAGCTGCAATCCAGACTCATCAGACCAGGGGTGTTTTTCCTAATTTGTTTTTGTCCTATTTTGGTGAGTCAGAGTAAATCAGCCAGAGTTTCTGGTTCAAAAAAATGAAAAGTGATTTTAGAATAACAGACGCATCAAAGGGATAAATACTTTAAGTTTCTAGTATTTAAAACCAATATTTCCATGGCTGATTGCAATTTTTGGAAATCAGAAATATTATGTTTTTTTGTTGTATTTGGACAGAAAAGTTTTTCAGTCTTTTTAATATTCTTTTTTGGTTTTAATAAACAGGAATGATAATTTTCCCTATTTCTGATGGAAAGTAATATCACTTCACTACATAACTGAAATGCAAGAAGAGCTTGTTTATTTTTCTGTAACTGAGCTGGTGACATGATTTGAGCAGTAAGTCCAGTTTAACCTGCTGGCTGTATGTTTTACATTTGGCCTTTCCCTCCGGTGGCTTTTAAGCACTAACATAAAGAGTTATAATGATATTTAAGTACAGAAGAGATCCATTGTTGTTGGTCTTAACTCTCTGCTCTTACTGGTTGAAAGCTTGCTGTTATTAATCCCGTTCGTGCTGCCCACAGATTAATTTCCTTGGTAAACCCTTTGCCAATAAACAATTTTAAAAGAGTGGGAAAAACCGGATTATTTACTGGCTTGTCGATATTTTTATCTGCCTTTATGAAAACACGTTATAACTTATTCACAGAAGTATTGTCGATAATGTGAATTGAATATGTTAAATCGTTGTCAGGAAGTGCATTTGGGATTTTTCTCAGCGGGTTTAGCAGTTTATTTACACTTATGAATAAAATATGCTACATTATACCCCGTCTTTCCTCGCTGTCTAAAACTAAAATCTGACACAAAGGCCAACATGCTGCACCTGTAAACCCTCCACATCCAGGTGAGAGTGTGATTAAAATATGTAACTTCACTAAATACATATTTAGGTAATTGTAAAATCAAACCAATCTCCAAACCAAAACCTGTCAGGATAGAGAAACATCAAATAAATAGAAAAAAAAATCAAGTAGAAGCAAATCTGTAATAAGCTAAGCTAGCATTTGTCAAACAACAATACATCCTTCATCTGATTCATTTCCGTGTTATCATAAAGAAGCAGAGTGTCTCAGTTACTAACCTTAAACAGGCCGGAATTCAACTCTCCATACTTGATTTAACGCGTTAATTTACACAAAACGAGCCTCGGCATCCCTCTTTTCCTGCAGACACTGGAGGTATTTGAAGAAACAGAGGTGTCACGGAAGAGGGTAGCTGCAAGTGAAGCTAACGGCTAAAACTGACACTTCCGGTTTGTAGTTTCATGATAAAAGTCCCAGAGAGAGGCAAACATAATTGTTTTTGTCTTTTATTATTATTATTATTATTATTATTATTATTATTATTATTATTAAGCTTATTAACAACAATAATTATGATAAGATATATTATTATTATTATGATTTCTTTACTTAATTTTAGTTGGGGTTTTTTTTCCCCAGTTTCTTTGTTCAATAGAGTCAGCAGTCACTGCGAAAGTTTTCGTTGTTGTTGTTAAAACAGGTACATTTCTGTCTTGAAATTCATTTTTGGAATAGTTTTATGACATCTTTTATGAGATCTGCATTCTTAGAATTGTTTTTTACAGTGAGATGTTATGATGACATAACGCATTTACCATCTACAAAAATTGTATTAGGTTTCAATTCTGTGTATTATTTTTTTAATACATAAAATGACACAAACAAGATAAAGTGAGATAAAAGCACTCTGTAGCCACACAAATGTATATTAAAAATAACTGTACCTTAATATATTATCTTAACATTACCTACATCTACAAATAATTGATTAATTTCACTTAAATGAAACTAAACTTGTTTTAGAAAATATGCATGCATATTTCTTAATTTATTTTTTTGGAGTTCTGTAAACCAGAAGTTTCAATATGGCCCAGTTTACGAGCTTTGACACGTGGATGCAAGAAGCCACGTCACGTTATAGCTCGCCATCTAGGGGTTAAATCCACTTCAATTGAAAAATAAATATCGATTATTTACGTATTTTTCACTTTTCATTTTGCACATCAAACACTTAAATATATTGCAGAACCTGTAGGTATTAATCCTCTTGGATGTTTTATCCTTCTATTGTTTTAAAATTAATAATCATGATCAACAAAATTAGGGCTTTTCTTTGTTAAAATATAAGAAAAGACAAAAAACCGAATGTCAAAGTGAAAGCCGATTTCTACAAAAAATAATGACAAATATAAATATTTGATTACATATGTGTTCACCCTATTAAACTGTTTAGTAGATGCACCTTTGGAGTCTGTAGATCTCAGTCATACCTGCAATTTTACTCCTTTATTAATTTTGTCAAATGTGATTGATTTGTAGAAGCAATAAAAGAGTAAAACATCCAAAGGGCTGAATACTTTTTAAAATATCAATAGATAAAAGCTATATATTGCTACATAGATGGTTAAAAAGTGAAGCAGCAAGAAATGTTTCACTGAGACAGAGTACAGCTTTATTAAAGTCAAACTTCAGGCATGTCTGAACTCTTCAAACTCAACTTCAGAATGAAAAAGGACAGAATCAATATCTTCAAATAAAAAGACAGATCATGTACAAAAAGAAGAGTGTCTTCTCAACAGTCACACACATTTAGAAGCAGAATTTTACAGGCAAAAATAAAAATAAAAAAAGAGCACACCACAGTAACATGAGTCTATGCAAATTCAATGCAAAGTATTTACAGGTTCCTCGACAATGTGTGTGTGGTATGCCGTAACACAGGTAGTTAACATGGCGGTGTGTGTTCATCCACGGTTTAATCGAAGCAACACCAAGAGAGATAGATATGACCCCAGTCAGCGTTACTGTGAGCAGGTTTCCTACAAGTAAGAAGAGATGAAGAGTGCTTATGCAGGTGAAATTATTCATTTATTCCAACACTATTTGACAGGATGTCAGGTGAGACCTCAACAACAGACGGCCCAACATTGCACAAAAAAAAAAAAAGACGTAACAGTGAACTGAAACTTTCCCTTTGACCATCAAAGGGGAGAGGGATTGGGTGTTTCTTCGTAGATTTGAAACAAAAATCAGAGCTAAGGGTCACTTAAAGGAGAAAATAAAAGCATAAAACCAGACGGAGAGACAATTAAAGCAGTAACACTTCAGCTGCATCAGCTCAGTAGGGCAGGAGGCGACCAACTGGCACAAAGATGCGAGTGCGATCATGCGATCTACAGGTGCAAAGAAAAACAAAAATAAAGGCTGTTTGGGGTTTTTTTATTTTCTTTTTTTTGCAGAATCTCTGTGCAATGTGGTGAAAATCAAAACAAAAGCAACAAATACAGTAAAACAATGGCATCGATTCGAATCCTCTGATGTTGGAAGCATGCACTCCAGCTCGACAACATTCACCATTACAACAAAAACAGAGGCTTCAGTGGGAATTATACAACCACAAAAACCAGAAGACATTCCCTCAAGCAACAAGGAGGCTTATGTGAGAAAAGCAAAGACATACAGAAACATCAAGTTTTAAGTTCGCAAAGGAAAGTGCTTTAACGACGCACTACAGAAGTACAATTAAAGCAAAAAGACAGAGCGTAAAGAATCCATCACTTTCAGCTCTTTGGATTAGTTTCATAAATAGCTCAACTCCAATGTGTAATTTTTCTGATTATTTGTCTGATTTGTAAAAGGTTTGAGGTGAAAATGTGAAAACCTCCAGCACAACTGGAGTTGAAAAGAAATCTCCTAATTATTTCCTTTTTTTTTTTCCTACATTCAGCTACAAGTTTAACAGGGAAAAAGAAAGCTTAAACTACTAGAGAAGAGCAAAAATAGTCCTAAAAATAAATCTTTCAATGCAATTATCTGCAATTCATCCTGGTCTTAATTAAGTGACTTGAGCAACATAAAAAGGGGGATTTCACGTATAATATTTTAGCCATTAACTGCTGAAAAGCTGCAACACTGGCCTTGCTGAAAAAAGCAAAACAAAAGCAATAGCAAGTTTAAAGACACTTTAAAGGAAAGAACATGGCAACATTGGCACTTTTTCACCCTGTGACCCCCAAAAATTTCTTCCGTGGGCAAAAACAAAGAAAAGCAGACATGATTACAGAAAATTCTCTCATCCTGCCATGATTACATTTATCTGCAACAAAAAAACCTCGCATTTCAATACCGAACTGCGTTAAAACACCGATTACAGTGAGTCATAAAACAGGCCGACAAGCAGATGCTGTCATCAAATGTGGAATCATTACACCAAATGTAAGAAAATGGTTAGATACAGGCATAAAACATAAAACTCCCCGTGTGTGTGTGTGTGTGTGTGTTTTTTATCTCATTATTTCATCATCTATGTTCGTTTACACCTTGGCACGAGAGACGTGCTTCTCTCGTGCACGTCTCCCTGCACGAGAGAAGGGAGACGTGCAGTAACTCGTCTCCCTTCTCTCGTCTGAGAAGGGAGACGAGTTACTGCACTGGTGTTTGGAAAAAAGAAATCTGTATAAAATGCGGTGCAATAAATACAAAAACTTTTGTTCTGACTTGATGAGCAATTTAAAAACACTGTACAGAAGTTTGTGTTTGTACATCATACTGGACTGGATTGTTGTCACACCATTTCTTCCTGGAAACAAACAAAAAGAAGTGCCTCTGGAGGATTTTTTCTCTCGCTTAAACCAAAAGCTGGGGTGGCAGTTTATTCCTATTTGGGCCGCCCTCTGTCCAAAACAACAACAACAAAATAAACTCCTAGCAGTTAGGCCACTTTTGTTTAAAAAGAAAGGAAAAGGAGACCTAGCATTCACAATGTTTCCAACTAAGAGGCAAAAACAGTCACAACATAGATTAAACTCCAATGTTATAACAAGAAGAGGTATCTGTTTTTTGAAATACTTGTCTTGTCCGTGTATTTCTGTGTCTGCCGGTGTGAAAGTGCTTTTCATAGGTTTGGCAAAAACATAAAAAGAAACGCCGTCACAGTACACGTGTGAAATGAAACAACTGAAATGAGCTGCAACCCTCTGCAGCGTGCCGAAAATTAAAACTTAAGGCTTATTAACAATACTTGAAACACAGCACCAGTGATCACAAGCTGGCCCCCCCTCCCCAACCATTTACTATACAGGTAACGGGAATTAAGTAAAGGACGCGTGAGAACGTTAAAAAAAATCCCCAAAAAACCAGGAAGTTCTCCTTCCAGACGCGACAGAAGAGCCTCCGCCGTCCTGACTTTTAAGTACTTTACAATATGGTGAGCCAATTATGTACACAATGGCGAGTGGGACTGGCAATATGAAATCACAAGTACTTCTGTAATGTCATACCATTACACTATATACCATTATATTTCACCTTAATAGGACTATTTTCACAAAGAGGTCTGCGTAATGTTCAACACCGAAACAAACAAACGTAATACACCACTCACCGAGATGAAGTGAGAGAAATTTGTCTGTAAACATTAACAAACATAGATACTGTATATAATTATATTCATCTATACCCCATAAGTATATTAAAAAGCATGTTCAAGGAGGATTGGAATGTAGTGTGGTCCTGGAAAACAAAACAAACAAAAACAAACAAAAAAAAAAGTAAAATTGCACAAATTTGGTCATTTTTCCGAGTTCTTTTTCCACAAGAAAGAAGAAGTAGGGTGGCGGATTGTGTCGGAGGCGATGAAGAAGAGCTGCCTCGTCTACGTCGTTTACAGCAGGTAAACGGGGGAGGAGAGCAGCACGGCGGGTGGAGAGGTTCGACGTAGCACCTCCCCTCCTCCTCCTCCTCTACTCCTCTCTAAACTTTTGAGATCTTCAGAGCGCCGAAGCACGGCAACACTTACAGGACTGTGGAAAAAGTGTTCGCCTCCTTACAGGTTTCTCTTGTTTTTCAGTCACATTTTAATGTTTCAGATCAAATAATGTTTAATATCAGAGCTAAATAATCTAACTGAACACAAAAAGCTGCTTTCAAAGGATGATATTTATAGAGGAAAGGAAAGGCTGCTCACAGCATCCTGAGTCTATGTAAAGACGTACCTGTCTACGCCTAATAAATCATTAATTAACAGGAAATTAATCCCAGGTGATCAGCAGTTTAACAGATTAAAATAGGCCAGAATATCTCAAAAACCATCTTATGATCAGTCTGGTAATGGTTACAATCATATTTCTAAGGATTTTAGATTCACTGTAAAAACACAAAATCTTACCAAGTATTTCTGGTTTTTTTAGTGAAAATATCTTATTACACTTGAATTAAGACAAAAATAACTTATGAAGATACGGAAGCTTGTTTTAAGTAAATAATTCCTTGATATTGATGAGAAAGTGCTAGTTCCATCGGCAAATAATTTCACTTATGGGAAAATTGTCTTGTTAAAATAAGCTCCCACGTCTTCCTGAAAAGTTATTTGTAAGTCAGTTTTGTCTTATTTCAAGTGTAACATAAGCGCACTAGAAACCAAAAATACTTGGTAAGATTTGGCGTTTTTGTTCAATGTAGAAAAAATGGAAAAGTGGTATCTCCACATCTGAATGACTTAAAAAAGGTCATTATGAAGGTTTTTCAAGAGGTCTAGTCAAAGTCTGGAGCTCATTCAGATGGACAAAGTATGACATTATGTCACTGTTGCTCAAAACGAAGTGTGTTTGAACTGAAACAGAGCAAAGAAGAATATATAAAATATTTATATCCAAGTATTAGTGAGAAATTACTTTCCTACCTTTAGCCAGGTTGTTTTGATTCGCTTTTCTCCCCTTTAAATAAATTAAATCATCATTTCAATGAATGTTTTTGAGTTCAAACAGATTGCGTTTGATATTAAAATTTGATATTAAAATGATGCGAAACATTTAAATGTGACAAAAAAGCGCCAACAGTAGAAGAAGAAACGCAGTAAGGTCTGGGCCCTCCGGAGGGCGCAGGCGAGCTGTAGAAAGTGTAACTATTGGTCTTTTATGGCGAGAGGAGAGAAAACAGCGCATGATTATGCTCAGTCACCTTCCCGTGTCGTTCCTTCAGTCGCTCTGCTCTCGCTGCCAACAGCATCAGTTCATCGGCGTGTCCCAGCCGCTAGCAGCGGCTATCGCACCGTTTAAAAAACAGAAAAACAAACAAAAACAAACACTGTATCCCCCTTGTGAAGTGCACCGCTGCAGACGTCAGAGAGCACTTCGCTGGGAATGAGGTATAGTGGAAGTTGCGGCTTCACTCTTTAGACTCCTCTTTGACCCTGACGGGGCTCCGATCGAAGCGCCGCGGCTGGGTCGAGTCGGAGCCCAGCGGACTGAGCGGGTCGTGGTTGGAGCAACAGAGGCGGTCGTCCAGAGCGGAGGCGGTGAGCGCCCCCGCCTCGTGGTCCCGGCAGAACGAACGGGGGCAGAAGTCGCAGAGTGACGAAGCCGAGGCGCCGCATACGCTGCAGTCGTGCCATGGACATTCCCAGCGTCCTGCAGAGAGAAGCTTGAAGATAAGGTCTGAACTGAGGCTTTAAAAGTGACCCATGCTTACAGGTTAGAATGAGTCGAAGGGCGATACAAAACATAATTACTACAGTTTTTGCACAAATCAATTGTAAATGATGAGATGTCATTCTGGTCAGTTCTGACTATTTTCTGATTTACGGCCTCATGTCACTTTAAATCCAAATAAGTAGCATAGTCAGAGCCAGGGTCCAAAAAGGCTCAACAGCCTGATAAAAAAGGCCGGTTCTGTTGTGATTCTGTTCTGGGGATGCCCCGAACTCAACATTTACACTCGTAAATGAAAATAACTGCAAGCAGAAGCGCAATTATACAAGAAAAAAAAAAAGGCAAAAGTCGAGCCTTCTGCACAACCAACAAAATGCAGCAAGTGATTTCCGAACGGTAATCAGCAACAAAACACTCGTCTTTTCCAGCAGCTATTGTTCAGCACACAGAAAACCAAATCACCAAACATGCTGGAGTTCCGCTGCGGTTGCTAGGTAACCTGGCTGGGCCGGTTGCAGTTGCTAGGTAACCTGGCTGGGCTGGTTGGGGTTGCTTGGTAACATCGCAGTGCCCATAGAATGTTACTCAACAATTGGACGAGTTTTGAAACGGATCATTTCCAGATATCAAAAACCTTAAGTGGTCTTTTTAAACACTTTGACCGTTTTTAGAGACTCAAATGAAAGCATAAAAACATGCATGATGTGAATTTTACCCATTTTGTTGTTGTCACAGAATGATTTTAAGGCTCTTCTTACTGATTTTGTCTGTAAATGTTTTGAGAAATCTTTTAACTAATTTATTAATGATGGCACTAATTTTTTCTGTTTTGCATAAGATGTTCTGTAAACACCGTGTGCTGCTGCCAGTCTTGGTGAAGATTCTCTTGCAAGATATATTTTTAATCTCAATCAGATTTTTCTGTCAAAATTCAGGTTAATAACAATGAAGGTTGTGTTTACCGTATGGCGGCTTGGTGAGGTTGAGACACAGCAGGTGATACGCTTTTGGACAGTCCTTCCTGTCGCACATCACCAGCTCTCCTCCTTCTCCGCAGCAGAAACAGACGTATTCGTGTGTGTGTTTGCCCTCCGGCCGCAGCTTCCGCTTCTTGGGCTTCAGCTTGGCGTTCTTAGCCTTCTCCTCCTTCTCCATCACCACGGCACTCTGGAGAAAACGACACAAAAGACATCAGGTGTGAAGTTTCACCAATCTCGGGTTCGCTTCCGGGAAGTTTGGAGCAAACGTGCTCACCGTCGGCTGAACGCCGAGGAACCCGGAGCAGTTGTCGGATCCGCAGTGGCAGGACATCCTCCGGTTGCCCACACAGTGTAGGTTGTAGTTGAACGTCAGCTCTGTGCCTGCAGACAAACCAACAACAAGTCCCCCAGTAAATGGTGTGTCTGTCATGAAAACAGCTGCCATAGATGCTCCGTCTTCAACTCACCAGCCTCGATGTTGCAGAGGGTGAAGAGCCCGATGCGAACATCTCCGTTCACCGTCCACTTCTGGGTTTCACAGTTGGGGCTGCAGCTGTGGTTCATGAAGCGAGACGAGTTTCCTTTTGGGCCGGCGTCTATCACTCGGTCCTGTCCGGCAATATCGAAAAAACAGAAGTTTTATTCTTCTTTTAATTAACTAAAACTTACACTCGTCGTTGGCTTTGACGCCGTGTTGAATAAAAGCTTTTAAGGATTTACTTAAACTGCCAAGAGTTTCCACTCTCCAGAGTTTCGATGTTGAGTGCACAACTTTAAATTTAAGGTGGATTACCTCTAATCTGCAGAGTTAAAACTGTACATAAAGATTCAAACATTTCATAAACAACATCGAATATCTTTTTCAAAGTTCCATCAAAAAGCTAGAGTGCTTAAAGAGCTAAAAATAAAACATCAAGGAAAAAAAAACAGAACACGTTTTTACGGTTAAATGTTTTATGAACATAGAAACATTTTATAACCTTCCAGACATTTCCCTTAAGAAAAAACATTTTGTAGGTGAAGTTTTTCTTGTGCAGAATTACTGATGATCTGTTTTAATACGTTTTATGGAAGCATTATGCTTTTTCAGTGTTTAAATTAAAGTGTTTATTATTTTACATCATTTTATGTTTAGTGGTTTATTCATATGATCCATCAACATGCCAGCGTTTTTACGGCACTGATTAATTTCCACGTTTCCACAGCAGCAGCATCTTTACCTTGGTTAGTGTGAGCATGTAGAAGTTGGTCACGTGATTTTCGTGGGCTCGTTTAATTCGCTGCTGGCATTCCTCCGAGTCTATAACCTCTCCCACGTATTCGGTCACAAAGTCACCCTGAAGGAAACGGAAAACCTTTTTATTACACTTTTCATTACAGTAGGCATAAACCAGACGCCTTTATCTGACTAGTCAGTCGTGACAGCAGCAGGTTGAATGACAGGTTTTGATTTCAGCAACCTCCTAATACATGATTACATAAAAAAATTTAAGTTTTACATTCAATCACAAAATTATGATCAACATTTGTTTCCAGTGCAACTACTGTGTATCATCATTTAGTTAACAGATTGTAGAAATAGGTCTGTCAAGATAATCAATTTGATATGATAAACTATCCCAGTAATTATTACGATAACCAATACTGTATGAATCTGTTCAGAGATATGAATCTGTTAAAATATTAATAAATAGTTGTGGTTACATTTGAGTAGTACTTCTTAAAATTAAATAATATAGAATATGTTTTGATTTTATGGTGCTAATTTAGAAGTATTTGTCTTTATGTACAGCAGTAAATGCCGTATAATGTGACAAAGTGAGGTTGAGGCAGCAGTGTAGTAGAAATAAGAAATACTGCCACCTGCAGGTGGGAGTTCGTAGTCACATGTTTTTGACTATTTTTGTAGAAAATTTAAATAAACTCACAATTATGGATTATTGCAAAAAAGTGTGGGGATCTACTGATTTTACCTGAATTTCCAAAATCACATAGTTTAAAAAAACTGGAGGGACAGTAAATAGATAAAACCTGCTTTGATTTGATTGATAAAATTATATTTAAGCATTCAACTGTTATCTTGCATACACTTATGCACTCCCTGGAAACTAGAGGGCCACATAAATATTTATGGCGTGCTGGATTTGACCCTCGGGCCTCAAGTTTGACACATATGGTCCAGACGTCAGGCTTGGCTCTCACCTTGCGGAGCGTTTGGTTCGTTCTGAGCCCCCAGCCGCAGCCCTCCGTCTTCACCACCTCAGTTTCTGCGTACAGCCGCTTGGAGAAGCACTGATTCTCACATCGGTCTCCTGCAGGACACACCTGATGCAGACAAGAGAGGGGTCACACTTTGGGTTTTAGTCATTTACAGCCCTACACTGCAAAAACACAAAATCTTAACAAGGATTTTCAGCCTAGTGAAAATATCTTATTACACTTATTACACTAAGTAGTATCATCCTGCTACAACTTCCTGTCATTTTCTTCAAAAAAAAAAAAAAAAGTGTTTTCATTGCAGATTTGCGAAATACACAATAAATTTTGTAGCAGCTGTAAAAACCCCACCTCATCCTAGTATAAAAAGCTTTTTTATAAAAAAAAAAACCCTGAGCTTTTTCTAACTTGGTGTGTTTCCGTTAAAGCAGATTAAATTTCGTAATTATAAATTTTATGGTCAATGGATATTCAGCTGTTTACCAAACAAAGGGGATACAAACCTGCGGGTGACACTCGTACTGCAGCATACGGTTTAGACACTGGGAGTCGAGGCTGCAAGGATGCTCCTCTGTTGGTTTGCAGTTGCATCGAGGGATTTCTGACAAGTCGGCCACGTGCATCTGCACCTTACCCACTGGCTTATTGGACTGTTACAGGAAAAAAACAGAATATCCGCTAAGATAGAGTCTACTGAAGCGTTTTTGTGTATTTAGAGACGTTAAAGGGATGTAAACCTTGATGATTTTGTATGGTGGAGGTTTGCGGGAGTTGCGTTCCTGCTCCAGAGCTTCCCTGCTCTCCCTCTGAGCCTTGAGCTCCTGAAACCGCCGGGCTGCTTCTTCCAGAGCTGAAACATGAACAGCGTCTCATGAAATCCCTTCAGCTGTGTTGTGAGGCAACAGAAACCCAAACAGGTTCAAAAAGGTTCAAATCTCACCTTTCTTGAAGGTTTTGTTGATGTTGATCTGACCCGTGACGAAGTTCTTGTCGTTCTCCACGTATGGGAACACGCGGCCCTGGTTGATCCAGTAGTAGTCATGGGAACCAAAGAAGAAGACTGGGAAGTCGCCAATGTCGTGCCGAAGGCTCTGGATGTTAGACGGCACCAAGCGAGGGTTGCAGATCTCAGCCGGCCACCATCTAAAAAGGAACGTCAAACGTAACGAGACGGAGAGAAGGATTAGAAAAGTAATTACAGAGCGAGGGATCTGTGGTGTTTTATTTAAAAGTGACCTTGAACAGGTTAGGATAGATTTATGGGCTAAACCAAACATGTTCATTACATTTTTTCACAAAATAATTCTTAGATCATGAGATTTTAGTCTGATCAGTTTATTTTGAGTTCTTTGGGGCTCCTGTCACTTTAAATCCAACTCAACGTTTACACTCGCACGTGAAAAAGGTTTTATCCAACCGTCTTTTCTGAATGGTTAATCAACAACAAACCATCTACCTCGTTCAGCAGGAATGGAACAGCTAATACAGCGGTAAAACCAGCTCACCAAATCTGCCGGAGCTTTTCTGGGGTTGCTAGGTAACGGGCTGGGCTTGCCTGTGGTTGCTAGGGAACGGTTGGGCTATTTTTAAAAGCTCTTTTTAAACCAAATTGAAGTACAAAAACGTTCAAGATGTGAACTTTGTATAATAGCTTCTGTTTAATTACCCAGCGTTTGAATAAGCTTTTTTTTTTTTTACATGACGCAATAAATAATTTGATCTTCTTAAATAGATTGATAATTACATAAATCCGGTAGAGCATTATAATCTACTGTTATTTCATCTATCTAAAAATAGTGCCATAAACCAGGATTAACCTGATTCTACAAACAATTGCATTTCCACACAATTATTCAAAACTGATTTAGTTTTTAGATGCTGCTCATTCACATGTGGTTTTCTGTTTTTCATACTGATGGAGGAATTGAGGTAACAGTTACTGAATTAAACGATGACTACCTGAATTTGGAGTATTTATTTTAGGCAAAGTTGAGCAGAGATTCATCCTCTACTGAAGCACAAAAACAAATTAATTTCTTTATTATTGATCTCAGCAAAGCTCACAGTGTTTACATTTATATTTGCTCCAGCTTGCTTTAACAATCTGCAGGACAAAACAAACCCACATGCCTCTTTTAGGGAGACTAGGTGTTGCAAATGAGGTTAATTAAATCAGATCTCCTGTTGGTTCATTTCAGGAAACGTTTTGCTAAACAGTTTCCAGGAAAATGCAGAACATCCATCTAAAACATCCCAACCTGTTTTATTTCAGAATGTGATTTATTTTGTAACATCTAAAAATAAAGAATACAAATCAGTGGGTTTCTGAGAGGCTGATGTTAAGAGTTCATCTCTAGTTGCTTTCTTTCACCTGCCAGGTTCAGATATTACAGGTACTCAGACTGAAGGCTTTTTTTCCCTCAGGATAAAAGCAGGCGATGCCAAAATGTTTATTTTTTTTCTCCTCTTAACAATGACAGGGTAAGAACTCCTGCAGCATTTATCCAGCAAAGTGAATGCTTTTAGAGTGGTCTTCATGAGTGGTTCTCTAAGCTGCCTGCAGGTTTCTCATACATTTTTTTAGTCCAGTCTTTCCACTCAACTAGGAGAACATAAACCGCTGCAGCATTTCATTACAACAAGCCTAAATAACATTGTGTCAGTTCCACTTTTACTGCCAAATTAGCTCTGGATCCAACTAGATCCCTCAAGGTGTGCTGCGTTATTCTAGACGTTGGCAGCAGGTCTTTTAAATCCAGTATTCATGAGTTGAAGCCTCCAGTTTGTTTAATGACTGATCTGGAGAACCTGGGTGCCAAGTCAACACGTTAAGCCAAACTTTTCGACAAGTAGGCCAAAATTGTTGAGTCAAAAGTAACCGGTACTTGGGTGACAGTAAAATATATATATATATATATATATATATATATATATATATATAAAAACTAATATCAAGCAAATAAAGTCGCCTGTATTTTTTTTCTTTTGTAGGAAAGGGATGGTATTCATTGTAAATCTAAATGTTAGAGGGGCACCATTATGTACTTTCCAGGTACTTTGTGCCTCTTTATAGTATATTCAAGTTGTTAAAAAATGATTTATATATTAAATATGACTTAAAATTCATTGAAATTGGGCCTCTGTCACTTTAAGAAACAATGTCTTCAAAATGTCATCAAATCTTTCCTCTGTTAACCCTTTAACAATGTTTTTGCCAGTGTTGCAATGAGAAGCAGCTCATATAATGAGATGCACAGTTCTAGGTGTTTGCTAATTGCTGCTGGCTAGTCTGAAGGAGCTGAGGGGGGGAAGTCACAGAGGAGAGCTGCTCTGTAAGGAGATCAGCAACTGCAGCTCAAAGACTGAGCTGCGCCTTGAAGGAGGTGCTACATCCAACCAGACCTGTTGCAATAAGCAACAAGTTAATTAATCACATGATCAATTAAAACAAGTTAAATTTCCATTTGTAACACGTCCGTGCAACCCAGCAAGTTAGAATATGCATGTTCTCCCTGTGCATGAGTGGGTTCTCTCTGGGTACTCCAGCTTCCTCCCGCAGTCCAAAAACATGACTGACAGGTTAATTGGTCTCTCTAAATTGTCCCTAGGTGTGAGTGTGTGTGCATGGTTGTGTGTCCTGTCTGTCTCTGTGTTGCCCTGCGACAGACTGGTGACCTGTCCAGGGTGACCCCGCCTCTCGCCCGAAACATTCGCTGGAGATGGGCACCAGCACCCCTCCCGACCCCATTAAGGGACAAGGGTGTACAGAAAATGGATGAATTTCGATTTGCATGATTTATCATTTTGCTCTTTTCTCTCTTTCTACCAAAAACTGAATGACAAAACTCTTCAGTCTGATGCTTTGGTCTCAACTAGCCCTTTTTTTTGAAGATCAGTTTTGTTTACATAGACTTCAGCATTTAATTTATTTGTCATTTGTGTTTTCTTTAATTTAGTTTGGATATTTAAAATGTCTTCCAGTTCCAGAGTTAAATGTTAATTAGAAATTCAAGTTTATTGATCTTTAAGAATATGTTCTTGCATTATTATTATGCCATTGTCTTTAAATTACTTGAAATTGGTCTTAAACCAACAATATTTTATTGTTGGCTTAACTTCTGGGACAATTTATCGTCCTGTAAAATTTATCGTGACACGCCTCGGTCCACCCAGGCGTTTTCCACGGCTGAATGGTTGCCATCAGAGATTAAAGGATTTCTCCAACATGCATGTTTGTGATGATACAATAAATAAAACCGAAGATTTTACATAATGCCGCTCCTTAAAGAATTTTCCACATTTGCGACATCTAGTTTTTCCCAAATACTTTTTTCCCTCTTGATTCATTTCTTGGACGACTACTTTTTACTTCTACTTGAGTGAAAACGTGTTGAAGTAGTCCTACTCTTACTTGGGTACGTTTTTGGGGGACTCTACCCACCTCTGCTTAAATGTAACCACACAATGACAGACATCTAACCCTCACCACTCTGCGATCGATGTGCTCTGCCTACCTGTAGTTTCCCAGTTTGACCCAGACAATTTGTTTGTAGTGAGGCTTCTTCCCCGCCCTGCAATCACTGCAGGACCAAGCGCCTTCGGGCATCTCCATCTCCAGACACTCCGGGTGGAAGGAAGCTGGGCATGAGTCGCAGCACAGCAACTTTCCTCCTACATTTGGATGGATGTAAACATGTGTTTGTGTGTGCACATGAAAGTGTGTGTGAGTGTGTAAGTGTGTGTAAGTGTGTGTGTGCATGCGGATGGGAGAATGGGTATGCAAAGAGAGGAGGAGTGTATGATTAGGTGGATGCACATCAAACACCTGGACAAACTCTGAATCTCAATTGCAGACAAGCATAAGCAGGACATAAGGATTTAAACTATATTTTATTCATATTTAGGACAAGAAAAAACTTTTTAATTGAAAATTTAGTAATTATTTTGAATAAAAACAGAGATTTGCACTTGACAGAAGGTTCCAGTGATGGCAACACTGCAATAAAATCTTATGCAAGCAACAGCTTATACTGCAGCAGTTCCAGCATGTCTGGCAATCAGATTCAGAGCACTGTACCAAGACCAGTCTATGGGAAATACATGCGGCAGCACTGGAATAAAAAGTCAGCCAGCAAAGTAGAAATTATTCAGGGTTATAATCAAACACATTATCTGCAATAAGCAGGCATGCAGTCCTGCTAGAGCAGCGAACCTGTCCGATCGCACAGCGCATCCTGCAGAGACCAGCTTGAATGGAATCCAATGTTTACAATATTGGCATTTTTTTGTTTTTGTGTTTATCAACTTAAAAAAACCAGTCCCTGCTTAAATGCACACAAATCTTTTTACTGACTGGGATCACATTCCATCCAAGACGGGTCAAAAAAACAAAAATCAAAATAGCTGCAGTCAGCATAAAAGAGGTGAAGCTGAACAAGGCCCTTTCAAATCAAAAACAAGCCCAAAGTGCTGAAGCAGAGAAGCAGTGCACCTCCAGCAGTGATCCACACAGGAAAAAAAAAAAAAAAAACACAACCAGAATTAATTAACCCAGAACATCCAGCAGAGGGGAATATACACAGAGCTGCTTCAAGTTTAATGGCTAGTTGGGTTTCCGCAGTAGCAAAACTCCATCGTCATATTTAAGTTTTCCTTTTTTTAAGGTGCTGTATGTACCCAGACTGAATGATTGATCCTCAGAACGGGCCCCATGCAAGAACGAGTCTCCTTCGTAAAAATACGCCTGTCAGGAGTTTATCATAAATTATAAAAACTTGCTAATGAGATATTAGTCATCCTAATGTCATCACACCTAAACTAAACCAAATGAATTTAACTTTGCGTTAGGGCTGGATGATGTGGCTGAAGGTTTTACGATAAGTGTTTCACATCAGTCAATACTGATAATTATTTATTGATTAGTTTCTTTGGTTTTAAATATATTTGAAATACTCCCAACCCAGTGATGTGACCTTTCTTGTTTTATCCAGTTTTCACTGTCGTTTTTTATTATTAAGCAGTTATGAGGCACAGTGGCAAAACCTGAAACTGTTGCTGCACAAGTTACTCAACAGGTTGTTGCTAGGTAACCAAAGAGCGAGTGAGTTAGTTGACGCCACCAACCTTACTAAACTCTCCATGAGAGTTTGAGCTGCTAAAGTCTTTCCTCTCACTACATCTCCCAGAATGCAGTGCGGTTCTAGATCAGAGTTCAGTGAATATTAAGACGTATTTATACAACCAGATTTCAGATGTATTTTAATAAGATTTACTGAAGTAGAAAATTTTAGTAGAAAATTCTCAATGAAAATCTGAAAAGTGTGGCCTGCATTTTTGTATTCAGCCGTTTACTCTAAAACTCGTAAGTAAGACAAAATGAAGGAAACGTCTCAGAGAAGTCAGAATTCTAAAAAAAAAAAAAAAAAAAAAATTTTGAGAAAAAAGCCCAATTTTTATTTTTTTTTTTAATTTTTTTTTTTTTTTTTTCA